CCTATAATCCATTGTATTACTACCTAATAAATTTTGAAACATTTAATTCAAGACTAAATTCAACAAGGAATTTTGAACGATTTAAGATTAATTCAATTCAATTTAGAAAAAAAACAGTCAAACAATTCAAAACTAATGATGGCAATTTAATACAATTCCACTAAATTCCAAAACTAACCAATTCAAAACTAAATTCAACAAGGCATTTTGAACAATTTAAGATTAATTCAATTCAATTTTAAAAAAAACAGTCAAACAATTCAATACTAATGATGGCAATTTAATACAATTCAGTTAAATTCCAACAAAATCAAACCAATTCAAAACTAAATTCAACAACGGGCAATTTTGAATTTATAATTAAATTCACCAATTTAATCTAATTCAACTCAATCCTAATAAAATAAAGCAATTAGCAAATCCAACTCAAACAAATTCAAACCAATTCAATTTAACACTAATTTTAGCTCTTTAATCTAATTCAACTCAATTCAAACAAAAAATATGCAAATTCAAGACTAATGATAACAATTTTATCCAATTAATTAAGGTCAATTATTTAATCCAACAATTTAAAGCAATCCAAAATATAAAAAAATTACCAAAATTTTCAACTTTACAATCCCAACCACAATTTTCAAGTTTACTCATTTTGGAAAAAAAAATTTGCTAAAGCTTCTTTCTTTTTGAGATAATACATCCAAAAAAAAAAATCAATTTGCTATTAAATAAACCTTTCAAAATCCTAATAACTATATTACCATTGTAATGCAATACCAATATATGAAAATTCTCTCTTAGACATTTTGACAAACACCTTGTGTGCATGAATATTCAAACAAAGTTTAACAAACTTCTCATTTTTGGAATCTATTACCCAATCAACGTATACAAGTTTAAAACTTTGTAAATACAATTCAACATTCAGCAGCAACCACAAACCCACATTCTATTGCAGCACATATAGAATAACCAAAAAGAGGAAGATTGCTTGTCAACTTACCTTATTCAGTACGCAATGCAATCAAAGAAGGGAGAGGGAGAACACCAAACTGCAGAGGAGAACAACGACCTTCTTTATTCACCAGAGTCACCGAACTGCAGAGGAGAACGACTGCTAGCTCTTTGTCATTGAGACAAAAATGCTACAGCACCAGTGGGGACATAGCTGCCGCAACCTTTAGAGTTCGTTCGCTGTCAAGCTGAGAGGAAAGGCGATGGACTTCCAACACCAGCGGAGACACAGCTTTGCACACGGAGCAGTGGATATGGGAGGAAGAGGCGATGCAGGAATGAAAAAGGGGAGGGATGGAGATGTTCGCGAGCTGTGCTATCTAAATTGGCAATGATTTTAAAAAAAATTCAGGCTCCTTCTCGTCTGTTTTATTAGTACAAACAAGAAGGAGCCAACTTCTTGTCTGTTTTAACAAAACAGGCTCGCCTGTTTTGTTAAAACAGACAAGAAGCTCTACTTCTCGTCTGGTTTTCTTTTTAAACAGACAAGAAAATGGAGCTTATTCTTGTCTATTTTTATTGAAACAGACAAGAATACCCACTTTTTCTGTTCCGTTTTCATAAACAGACATGAATGGAGAAGGTAAAAAGTATGTTTCCTTGTAGTGTTTATAATAAATTTAAAGGTTAAGGCACATCCAGCATACCAAAATATTTTCTCGAATGCATTCAGCACTATAACATACTTTAGGATGCGTGATGCATTCAGTGCCTAAAGTTTTTTTAGATGAAGAAAGATGAGAGATAATAAATGTGTAATATTAAAAGCAATTTTATCATTTTTAAAAAACTTTATCATTGTAGGACACATTTAATGACTAAACTTTCATTTGTTTTCGTATGTGAGAAAAGTAAACTAACTTCTTATATTATCAACCAAAGAAATATGTATTAAAACCCCAACATTGTCTTGGCCTTTTTCAAACATGATGTCGTCCTTTGGCTTAACTCCACATGAATCTTTGGAATCAATCTCATCAAACATAAGATGCTTCACATAATCTCCTTATTAGACTCATGCGTGTCTATAAATGCCAGTGTTTTAATTTATTAGATTTAATCTTTTCATGAAAGATATTTGTTCAGATTTATATGAAATATTTTTGTTGTTTATAGTCAAACCACAGATAATCAGCAGTCAATCTCCACGCTATACTTCTATTACGTAAAGAAGATGGTGTTGGATGTTTTGAAAATTAAATATTGTTTCTAAAGGAATTATTACATTCTGACTATATCAATTTCTATACCGTCCACGCTTAAAAAACACTACCTAATGCCGCAAAGTAAAAAAAAAAAAAACTACTTCCACTACTTAATATAAAAACTAGTTAAAATTTAATTTATATTTAAATATAATATCTCAATCTACTTTTTCTATAATATTTATCTATTTTGTCTCCAAAATAATCAGTATGGTAATTGCACATTATTAGGAATTTTCATCAAGTGGTAGCTGGTTTCAATATATATAATTAATCAGAGTATTTTAAACAAATATTTATTTATTATAAATAACTAACTTAACTAAGTAATGTTGATCCAACAGCCACGGTCAGCTCCTTTTAACCTAGGCACAAGTTCCTGTACACAACACCGGAACTTGTCATTACATAACCTCTGCCTCACGTAGGACATTTAATTTGCTGATTACATTTCTTCCTCAAAATCTTACAGTGATTTTCTCACCCAAAAAAAAAAAAATCAGTTTTCCACAACCTCACCGTCACGTTTCAAGAGATATAATTTTGAAAATCTAATGTTGCGGTCTATTTCAAACACCATGATGCTCCTTTTATTTCGTTATTATCCTCATACTCTATTGAAGCAAAGGCCCATTGATCTCTCTTTCTCTTCTTTATCTTCTACCTCTCAATCAAACATGCTTCAACATTCTTATCTCCTTACCTTGTTCATTTTCACATTCTGGTCATGCTGCGCTATTGACGCCGTCGTTTCAGACCCACAGACTCATCTTGTTACCATCGGCTGCACCCCATTCGACCGCTTCCTCGTCCACTCCTTCCTCCCTTCTCTTCTTTCTTCAATGACAACCTAAACGCAACCTTTCGAGACATCGGCTACACCCTTTTAGATCAAAACAAGCATTTCGTTCCGGTTCAGGAAAGCGGTGGCGGAACCCTGTGTCCACTCTTTTCAGTGCAGAAAAGTAACTCCTTTCTATCGCCGACTGTGTCGCGTGCTTTGATGTAGCTGCCGCCAAAGTCCGGAGCTGCCGTGCCGGAGCCCCTGGTGGCCATGCCGTTTACGACGGCTGCTTCCTCAGGTACACAAAACTACTCCACAAGGTTCCACTAGTTCTTTTCTTAGTAGGGCACCTAAAAATAAGATATTTATTGTGACGTTATTAGTTTACCCAAGGTGTAGTTTTGGAGATAATATCTCAAAATAAACTTAACACACACCAACTCAGACTTCATTTATGTCTAAGTATCCAATATCTTTTGATGAGTCACCTTAATTGACAGAAAATATCTCTTTTATGTCTTGGGGGTGTGTGGTTTCTCCCTGAAAGTGTTTTTTAAAAACATTTTCATGCAAATTGAGATAAAATCCTTCTTACATAGTATACTGTAAAATCATTATAACTTTGTTTTTATCCAATCACTCTCTTAATTTAAATAAGATGTTGCGGGTGGGACTTTATAATGGGTGCGTGAGCTCCTTGACAAAAAAAAAACAGTATCTTTCTTATTTAAAAAAAAAACTTATTTGAAGAAAAAGATAATTTCAAAAAGGGAAAGCAATCCATTTCCTCATCCTTTACATCAATTTTCCGGTAGAGGTTCATTCCTATGCTTTCTTGTGCTAGTCTCTATAATGATGATGTGGCATGATGGAGTTCATCAAAAGGGAAAAAAATGATAAACAGGTCTTGCATATGGGACTTAATAACTAATAAACCCAATAAAGTTGTTAAACTATAGTAAGATGTAGGGGATTTGAATGTCATTATGCACATAGTATATGTGAAATAGTCAGAATACTTCTGCAAGACCCCAAAACCAACTTTGATTGGTCGATCGTTCACTAATCACTTGACTCAGACTGTCATAGGCCGGCGACTAGATGGTCATTGGACCCCTAGCAGCAGGTTGTCATCAGTAAGAGCAACTATTTTAAAACTATTTTTACTAAAATATTTATATTTAATATTTAATCATTTAAATATCACAATTATTTAAAACTAGTATAAGTTATTTTTATTTTTTGATCTGCATAAAACTAGTGTAAGTTAATTTATAAAACTTGCAAGTGAATCAGAGAACATATTTTGTGTATAACTCATAATAACCTTAAATCACTTTGGGTTTGGGACTAATTTTTATTGTTGAACTAAAAAATTAAGGTTAAAATCCTCCCAATAAATATGTTATAAATATGTTTTTTGAGATTTGAACTTGTGTGAATCAAAGTGCTTTTTTTTTGGTTAACTTGCAAATTCTAAAGCATTGGCTATAAAAAATAAGACTATTGGCCATGATTTTTAAAAGTGACCTTTTAAATTTAGTTTCAACAGTAACCTTTTTTTGTCACTGTTAAAACCTTTTAGCTATAGCCCTTATGGCAATGATATTGGACAATGACAACGCTGCAACTTATAGCTACCGAAACTTTTAATGGTGACTTTTGTACTTTTAGCCATGACATAAAAGTCAATTTTTTTTTTTTGCGGTGATTATTAATCAATATATTTTTCTAGCATATCAAAAGAAATCCAGATGTCCACAAAGGGTTTCTCTGTATATACATATTGCAAAATCCATATTGAACTTGGAAAACTGATATATATGCATGGGAAATTTTTTGGTATTTTGAGGTATGATGCGAGTCCTTTCTTTGACCGGGCGACGGATACTTTCAATGCTGCCTTATGTGGGAATAAAACTACAGGAGAAGCCACTGCCTTAACTCAGCTGTGCGCAAAAACTGCTGATGAATCTCCAAAGAGAAACACCAACAATCCCTGGCTTTCTGGCAGCCACGAAGACACAAGTACTTAATAATAATGGTCCAACTATATATGCCTTTGTGCAGTGCACAGAAACTATCACACAAAGTGGATGCCTCAGTTGCTTAGATGTTGCATACAGAAATATGCAGACTTGTCTTCCTACTTCAGATGGTCGAGCTTTTGATCAGGGCTGTTTCATGAGATACTCCACAACCTCATTCTTTCCTGATAATTACCAGATCGTTGACGTCACTCCCATGGATAAACAAGGTATGGTTCATTTGAAGATTTAAGTGTTCAATTATATAATTTTCTTTTGTTAGTTTTATGTTACACTTATCTCATGTCATTTTGGTTTGATAAGACGATTTTCTTGGCTTGCAGGTTCGAGCATTAAGGGGGCTATCATTGGTGGAGTTGTTGGAGGAGTATTGCTTGTTTTGGTTGCCCTTGCACTTTTTGTTTGGATTAAACCACGTAAAAGCCCTAAAAGGGTTCCGGCTAGAGGTAAAAAAAAAAAAGTTCAAAGTATTAATTTACTGCATATTTTTAATGTTTGGGTGATGATCTGGTTTTCACTTTGTCCGTGAAAGAAAGAGTTATGGACTTTCCATGTATCTACAAAGGATGAATCCTGATATGTTTTTCTAATTTTTTGAGAGAATTTGACTAATGTTTTTCTCCCAGGAGACATAACTGGTGCAAGCAAGTTGGAAGGTGCAATTCATTACAGTTACATGGATTTGAAGTACGCAACTAGAAATTTTAGTGTAGAAAATAAACTTGGAGAAGGAGGATTTGGTGCAGTATATAAGGTAGCTATATCTTTTGATTATTAATATTTTCATCTAGATCATGTTCCCCAAGTAAGGATTTTCCGATGTGAGTTTTATGCAGTGTTGTAAAAACTTGTATATATACGAAAGGAAAATTAAAGGGACCATATATAACACTTTTAGGAAATTATTAATCATCATGAACAGGGAACTCTGAAGAATGGGAAAGTAGTTGCAGTCAAGAAGTTGACTTTACGTCGTTCCAATAAAGTGGAGGAAGAATTTGAGAGTGAAGTGAAGCTTATAAACAATGTTCACCATCGAAATCTTGTTCGACTTCTTGGATATTGCAGTAAGGGTGATGAGTGAATTCTTGTTTATGAATACATGAAAAATACCAGTCTCGACAAATTCTTATTTGGTAAACTCCTCTGAACCTACCAAAATTTATGTTCTGTTCTTTAAGTACAGCTGCTTGATGTCTTCATAATATTAAGACGTGGATATATTTTCATTTTCGTATAATTGACTCTTCTAACAAGCTCATTCCCAGATGAGATTAAAAATTATTGAAGTACTTAGTAAAAGTATATAAGTATTTCCTCTAGAAACATTTAGAGGATCATTTTTTAATTGTTTCTTTGCCATGAGTAAATTTGTTAACAGGTAAAATGAAAGGTTCTCTTGGTTGGAAGCAACGATATAATATAATTTTAGGCACTGCAAGGGGTTTGGCCTATCTACACGAAGAATTTCACAACCGTATCATACATAGAGATATAAAATCCAATAACATCCTCTTAGATGATGATCTTCAACCTAAAATTGCTGACTTTGGGTTGGCAAGACTTTTACCTGAGGACAAATCTCATCTTAGCACGAAATTTGCAGGAACATTGTAAGTTGAAATAATTATATTTGGCTTTCTTTTTTTTTTTTTACTTTAATCACAGTATATGCATGCAGATAAAATATATGTTTAGGTAAACACAACACTCCTATGATATCGATAAATAATTTTAACATTTTCCTTCTTTTTTCCTGTAATTAAAACGTCAATACTACATGAAAGAGTTTGGTGACATGTGGGATAAGAAAAAAATTATGGTTTAATTATATTTTTAAAATATTTGGATTATTTGGACTTATCATCATTTTACGATTTATTTATTTTTATCAGTATTTTAGTTTTCTTATTATTGTTAGGATTAGTTGTTATTATTATTTTTCTTCTTCTTATTGTCATCATCTCATTATAACTAGTTCTAGGGTTTTCATTTTACGGAGACTTAAGACTTTGGATTGAAATTTCAGAATACAATTATTTTCTCTCCGGCGTCCCTTCTCTGCTTCCCTTTTCTCCTCGATTTCTTTCTTTTTCTATATTGTTTTACATCAGAATTCATATCTATGTTCCACATGACATAGTATTATGTTTGTTCCGTCTATTTCAGATATTGTTGCCTTGAAATTTATATGGGCGTGTTTGTGTTCTTAATTATAATATGATGAATTATGTCGTAAATGCTACATATATATATTTGTCAGAGGATATGCAGCACCGGAGTATGCAATAAATGGACAATTATCTGAGAAGGTTGATATCTACAGCTATGGAGTTGTAGTTCTAGAAATTCTTAGTGGTCAAAAAAGTGAAGAATTGAATGTTAATGGTGAGGCCGAAGGTGAATTCCTCCTTCAAAAGGTAAGAAAATTTACAAAAGCATTTAAAAATACTATTTTTGAAGGAGGTTTTGACGTGGGAATTCATTTAGTAAATCAACACATATACTGCTTTTGGGTTAGATCTTTTGAAAGAGGTTTTTTTTTTTTCATTTGATTAGAGAATCTAAAAATAACCAAAACTTTAAAAATTAACACCTTCGTCTTTGCATTTCTATCCTGGTGATTTTGTTTAACTTTTGATCCCAATTATTGTTAGGCATGGAAACTATACGAAAGAGGCATGCATTTAGAGTTGGTGGACAACACTTTAGACTCTAACGACTATGATGCGGAACAAGTAAAGAAAATAATTGAGATTGGATTGCTTTGTACCCAAGCATCAGCTACAATACGGCCGACAATGTCCGAAGTGGTTGCCTTGCTCCAAAACAAATATTTGTTTGAAAATATGAGACCAACTATGCCTTTCTTGGTTGAAACTAAATAAGGGCTCATGGAACGAACTATTACTTCTGCATGGCTAGGGGGTGTTTGGCTGGAGAAGAAAAGTAAATTTATAGAATATAAAGTAAATATATGAGAGAAATTTTGTCTTGATTTATATAAAATCACTTTTTAAAAGTATTTTTTGAATTATATTGTCAGAAAAATACTTGTTTGTATGTTTTGAAGTTTTTAGTGTTGAAACCCATAGAACGGAATACGAACTAACATCAAACAAAAATGAGAATGCTTGTCCTACATTCCATTATTATATTCTTCAACATGTGTTTGTAATCATATATCAATCCTTAAAAAGTATATGTCAATTGATAATTTTAGTGTACAATTTCAAGTAAACTACATTACTCTAGCTTAACGTTTTGGTTAATGTACACACGACAACCTCTTTTTTTTTTTTTTTTTCCTAATCCAATTTTATTTTAAATGATGATATGATGTGAATTTTTCCTACAATACACGACTTTGCGAGCGAAGTTATTTATTCGTCTTTATAGTCACGTTAAGAGTGAAATAACCGTATCATATCGGAGTTTAATAACAAGTTAATTGCCTAATTCTTATTGTGTCAAGAAAATGTATGAAAAACATGCACTATTCATAAGTATTGAAAACATGGCTTATTTCTTAAATTTTGTATAATTATTTACTTAAAACTCAGTTTAGCTTTGATATGCAGGTGGTGCATTTCAAAAATTGGTGATAATCTTTTTAGAACCTATTTGCTCTTTGCCACCTGGATTTTCATTATGGACTGGATTTAAAGTTAGTGATGGTTTATTTTCTGTTTTGAACTCTGGGTATTCACAGCAGATAACAATAGAGAAGACTTTCTGAAACAGCATTAGTACTGATCATGAGATCCTCTTTGTACACGCCGCCAGCTTTTTCCTAGTCTTGTCGCCTTTTTTGAAAAGGCAGTGCGGCTTAAGTTCAAACCCAAGTTATCCACAAGGCAAGGTGGCACAAAATCTATACACGCGTCGGTCAAAAACCTTTCATAAATTGCATGGTCACCCCCACACAAATTGTTGTTGCGTCCTTCAAGACTGTTTAAATTTAAGAAACATGTTGAAAAACAGCTCCATCCCACTGATATTAAGCCCAAAACACGAACCCTCTTCGGAGTTCGAAGCAGTCCCAACAACAAGATGCTTCAACGTCCTAATAATCTCTTTCTTCTCCTGGTGACCTTCTTGATATTCTGGTCAGGCTGAACTCTAAACGGCGTCGTTCCGGACCCGCAGACCAATCTTCTGCACAGTGGATGCAGCCCGTTCTACGAATACGTGCTGTCCAACTTCTCGACGTTCAACGAAAACCTCAACACAATGTTTAGAGAAATCCAAGGGGAGATCGTGACTCAGAACAAGTACTTCGCGACGGCGCAGCAGGGCGGCGGAAATAACCCAGTTTCCACTCTTTTTCAGTGCAGAAATTGCCTCTCCATCCCCGACTGTGCCGCCTGCTTCGACGTCGCTTCTGTCAGATCCGCAACTGCTCCGGCGGAGCACACGGTGCCCGTGTCGTCTACGACGGCTGTTTCCTCAGGTACAAGATCCGACTAACCCACCTGATTCAATTTTGACTTCCCTGTTGAAACAGTGGAAGCTTAGGCCTTGGATATAAGATATTTATTGCGTGATCATTGAGTAGTTTGTGAATGTGTTGTGAGGTTTACGACCGTGCTTTCTTTTTGGTTTTGTCTCTATTTGCATTGATTAATTAAACAGTAAAGACAAAGGAGAAATAAAACTTTAGTTAAGTATGGCTACTTAAAGTAGATGATAATATGAAATTAAAGTTTAATAACAATAGATGGGATCTCAAAAAAAAAAATCATTGAATTTTAAAATTTCAAATCATTCTTGTTTACTACATTTTAATAACAATTGACAACATTTAAAAAAGTAAATGACAATATATTTTTGTGATTTGAGATTTTGAAATTTTAGAGGTATTTTTTTTGGGGGATTTTTTTTCCATATATTTACACATTTCTCATTTTAATGATAAGGTAATAATTTGATTCATTAAATTTCTTAAAAATTTATTTACATATTTTTTTTAGCGTTGGTAAACATTTCATATGAAAAAATTTATAACTTGCAAGGTTTTATTGATATAATCGATGAAATAAAAAAATTGATTATTTCTCAGATAAATAATATAATAGACAAGATTTTAACAACAAATCATAATCAACAACAAGTTGTCAAATTCATCAACACACAGACGTCATGCGCGCAATAAGTGAGTATAAATGCTCAACTGCCATTAGATGCCCTCTGCTGGCCGGTCCATGTTAGCTAAATCAGTCTATAAATAATTCAACATAGGAATATAAATTTAATTCAAACAATTTTAATAATTAATGTTTTGGTAAAGGCACGAGGAGAAGATTAAAGATAACAAAAGGAAGAGTAGAAAGAGAAAGCTATTAAGAATAAGAAAGTAGGACCAAGACACAATTCAAAATGGCTTATGAGTTCGGGAAGTGGGTTAATTAGAATATCAGACGCTGGCAAGACAAGACACAACTTTAGCTAGAATATAGAAGGCTTTATATGAATTGTGAGTTAGAGTCTTATTCCTTGAATAAATTTATGGATAATTTATTACCTATTAGAGACAAATGTATAAAACCTAAATTTACACTCTGCTTATTACCAAAATCATAGCCTCGATATTTAAAGAAATGTAGCACGTCAAGTAGGTCAATAACTAATCAATGCAATTTTATAGTGATATTGGAAAGATGAATTGGTATTACTTTGTGGTATGCTAAGGTATGAGACGAGTGCCTTCTTTGACCAAACATATTTTGAATTTGAATTCGGATATTCAAATATATCTTTGACTTATAATATTATGATTTCTTGAATTCAAATTCAGAATCAATCATAATCAATTCTAAATATATATATATATATATCTCTCTCTAAGATATATATATATAATCTATACAATATAAATTAATTAAATTTATATCGTAACTGATTGGATTTGTTTAAGAATATTTGACCGAGTCGAACATATCATAATCTTACTTAGATATTTGACCGGTATATTTTCTTAATATCTAGTCAAATAGTTCGGTTCATCAAGAGTGGATCCAAGCCCAAAATCCACATAAATATAGATCCAACCTGTTATGTTTTCTCCCTCTCCTTATTTATTTCCTTCACTTAGAAGATAAAAAATCTAAGAACAAACATTTAGTGGCTTACCATGTTTCAAGAAGCGGTTGATATCAGTGGTTTGATCATCAGGAAAGAGAGAAGTGGTGGAGTATCTCATGAAGCACCCAGTATCGTAGCTCTTAGCATTTGAGTTTGTAAGACAAGTCTGAAATTTGGCTGACGCAGAGTTCATGTAATTCTGGCACCCACTGTGTGAGAGGGTTTGAACGCATTGAGCAATCGCATAAATTTTCAAACCATTATTATTAGGCACAGGCGTCTTAGTGACCGCATAAAATCCACTCATTCTTGGGGTTGCTACGTTTAGATTCCTTAGAACTTGTTGGACAGTTGAAGCAAGCGCCGGGGAATCTGTTATTGTCTGATTCGCACATCTTATGTTGCTCCGCTCTATGTCGTTGGCCAGATCAAATTGTTGACTGCTCTCGTACCTAGTCACTAATCAATAAGATGGTAACTAATTAAGCATGTGTCTAGTGTCTTTTTTGGGTATTGGATGGTCCCAAAAAGAGATGTAAGTTTTTGGTAGCCTCTTTTGTGTGTACCTATGGCTGCTGAAGAAGACTAAATTGAGATGAACTTATTTCACTAAGAAGAACATCTGAATCAAATCTGTTTACTTATTAGACAAGAATAATGTATGCTCTACCATCTTATCTCTATGACGATGCTCTATTATCCGAGAAAAAAGGGTGAAACTTGAGGTTGTGGGGGTAGCTAGTTGTACCTGAGGAAGCAGCCGTCGTAGACGAGACGGGCACCGTATGACCTGGCGGAGCAGTTGCGGATGTTTACCGCGGCGGCGTTTAAGCAAGCGAGGCAGTCGGCGACGGAGAGGTAGTTTCTGCACTGAAAAAGGCCATAAACGGGGATGTTAGCCTTCACTGCTTCAGCTGTGGCGAAGTGTTTGTTTGGCCTTGGATCTGAGCTCTCAGGTCTTGAAACGTTTCGTTTAGGATCTCCTTCAAGATGGAACCATCGTTGTCGCCGTCTTGGTCACACCATAGCTGCGCTAGATTTGTCTGAGGGTCGGAAACGACGCCGTCGAGCGTCCACCATGACCAGATTATGAAGCTCAATAAGAAGAAGAGAGGCTTCTGTTGCAGTAATTGTGGCTGCATGCTGGTTTTTCTTGCCTTTCAGAAGCTTGTATATATTAACTATTATATATATTAACCATATAAAAAGATTGTAACAAAACAAATTAGGAAGAATACATTAAAAAAGTTTTCAGTGTCATGAGAGAATTAAATCCTAGACGTACACTTCTACATGTTATCCAAGACGAGTTACTCTGTTTTTTTTTTTTTAACATATATGTATGCATGTATGTTTATCAAGTATCATTATACAGCACAAGATAAATAATTCAAATTGAAAATCAGGTTAAATAAATATTTCAAACATGATTTCTTCTAATTTTATTTCAAACATGTATTGAAATTTGTTTATAACTATATTTGCCACTTTGCTTGCTTCCATCCCATGCCTATCTCGTGTGGCATGTCTCTTTATATCAGTTGAATATATTTTAATTATTACACAAGAATAATGTATCCTTTATGTACGTGAGCAATAAATCAATATAATATATTATTATCAGCCAAAAAATATCATTTGTTATAAAAATTGGTTTTTATGCCAACGAAATTATATAACTTAGAATTCTGGGCGTTATATATGATTATACGCCAGAAGTTGTCATCTAAATAAAGGATTTTTTGGATGTTATTTTCGCTTGTTTTGTTTGAATTTGTTTTCTTTTATATATATCATTGTCTCTACGCTCGATGTCACAATGTTCATTAAAAAGATATGTCCCTAGAAATATATATGATCTCTATGATGTTGTATTATTAAAAAAGAAAGTCAAACTTG